TTAATATTACAAGAGCTCCAGTGACTCCTCCACTTGGCACAGAGCGAGGAACATGAGCCCCAGGTCGATGTGGTTTCCCTTCAGGAGATTTGGGGTTTTCTCCTGTTCTTGGCCAGATTTCTCAGACGCTGTCATATTTTCTGAGACAGAATCGATCTTTTAGATGGTGTTCACCTATGCTCATGAGAACAGCTTGACCCCGAAGAAAGTATTAGTGGTTTAGAGTTTCCCGTGTCTGCACGCTTACCTGACATGTGACAGCAAGAATCGGGCACTAAAGGTTTCATAATGAGGGTGATCTAGTCCTTTGATCCTTTTTGTTCTGTTGAAGTCCTTGTGAATATTTTAAGGTGTGTGCACTGCTTTGTGTATTTGAGGTACAGTGTAATTCCACTCTGAAAAGCAAAGTGAAAGAACGCTAAACGCAACATTTAGTCTGTAGGCCCTTCTTCCGGATTGGCCCTTGCTTGAAGAAGGCTTTGCAGCCGGAAGCATTTTTTGTCTTTTCTTCTTCTTTGGTTTCAGTGTGGAAGTAGCCTGTTTCTTGTTCCCTTGCTGTGCGCTGATATTTCTTCCCACTTGAACCTTACTGTGTGCTGAAAGCTGTGGATGATCTGGGTTTCCCCACCAAATGTGATGAAGGCGAAGGGTGTGGAGAGTAGGCGTGGCAGTGCGGTCTTTTCCAATCTAACCCTGGACTTAAATCTGACATGGTTTCTGTCTGCCCTTCTTCAGGCAGGCGGGGGTGAAGAATGGGATGTTTTTCGGTCAGGCCAAGCAGCTGTGCCCGGGCCTTCAGGCTGTGCCCTACGATTTCCACGCCTACAAAGAGGTGGCGCTGGCCATGTACGAGACCTTGGCAAGGTACCACCCTTTTCCCACCCCTCTGACTGCAGACCAAGGAGCAGGAGCTGCTTGCGCATTCAGGAACAGAGCAAATGTGGGCAGACACTCCGTTGAAGCCGATACCCTGGCTCCTTTCGAGAAACAGCTGGATGAGATCCTCAGTTCAAATAACTGCTAACTACCAGACAAGCTAGACAAGCATTTGTAACAGTTCTTATGTCAAATTCTGAAAGTTCCTGCTTGGCTGAATCAGGGTGATTATTGTAAATTGTCTTGTAACAAAACAATCAGTAACCTGTTTTGATCTTTCACCCCATTGAATCAGTGCATTATCCCTGAATGTTAAAAAAGGGTAACATCTGACTTTCTCCACAGCCTCATTCTGTATAATGAACTTTCCAGTTGTAGTCACTTCAATATGCAGAGATTTAAATTAATGAAAAGCTTTCCAGATTTTTTTGTTCTTTGATGATTAAAAGCATGTGTTTAAGGCCATATTGCAGTATGACGGCACCCCTGGTGTGCATTTTCAGTGTGTACTCTACCCAGTGTCCCCAGAGGATGGGTTTGGTTTGCCTTTCTGAGAGAAAGTTGTTAGAAGAGAGAAGTTATACGGGATAGCCGGCTCTGCAGGTTGTCTTTACACGTGATCGATT